GTTTGTTCTATGTCAACAGCTACTGTCAAGCGATCGATTGGTAGACTGGGTTCGTGGCCCCAATGTTTGTACTGCCGTAGGGTCTAGCATGCTTAGAGCGTGCTAGCGTCTACTCTACTTGGACTAGCGCGTCTAACAGGAAAAACTTGTTAATGGGGACGAGTTACATATAGCTCTTTGGATCTTGGATGAGAGACGCTGCCGCCGGTAAAATCGATGGGAAATTGGGACGGTGAAAATATAACTAGTCCCGCCGGACTAACTGCTATGGGAATCTACTAGTCCTTCTGATTTTTTACTAGTCTCGGACTAACGGACTAGCGTTAGTGTCGAACCCTGATATGTCAATCATTCTCTTGGGCAGTAAATACATTTCGTGTTTATTTACCATTATTTTTTTCGCAGTGGCTATGTGTCCGGAACCGGTCGCCTAGCCTCCAGGCTACGCATCCGGACATCCACTCACACAGTGATCGCGCGACTCGCGTACACGCATGATTGCGCAACGGGACGCTCTGCTGATTGTTGAAAATATACAATATATGCACTGCTGCCGTCTATCTTTTCATCCGTCCTCTCTCGCTCTTTCTCTCTCTCACACACACGCACAGCTCTCTCTCTCTCTCACACACCTCTAGTTCTCTCTCTCTCTCTCTCTCACGCATACATACACACACATACACATTTCCCCTCTCTCTCTCTCGCTCACACACACAATCGGCAATCAGCAGAGTGTCCCGTTGCGCAATCATGTGTGTACGTAGACCGAATATTTCTGTCCCATATAACCTTTTTTATATTTTGGTGAGGAACGGGGTTCATTGAAATTTCGTGAGATCGCATGCAAAATGCATGCGCTGCGAATGCGGCCCGTACGCTGCTATTGGCGCGAAAGAAAAAAACCCGACCGTTCCCTTCTACATGGCTTTACCTTGCTACTGATATGTGTATACATTCACTTCAATCGTTATTTACTTCTTAAAAGATCGTTTTTCATAAACCCCGCTTTATTAACTTTCGTAAATTATGTCGGCCATTTACAAACAATCAGACCAATCAGAGCGAGTTTTACAATAGCCCCTGGTTCTCGCTTGTATCTGTGGCGCTGCAGGAGGCCTGATAGACTCGCTGTGATTGGTCTGATTGTTTGGAAAAGGGCCGACGTAATTTACTAAAGTTAATGAAGCGGGGTTTATCAAAAACAGTCTTTTAAGAAGTAAATAACGATTAAAGTGAATGTATACACATATCAGTAGCAAGGTAAAGCCATGTAGAAGGGAACGGTAGGTTTTTTTTCGCGCCAATAGCGGCATACGGGCCGCATTTGCAGCGAATGCATTTTGCATGCGATCTCACGAAATTTCAATGAACCCCGTTCTGTCCCAATATAACCTTCACCAAAATATAAAAAAGGTTGTATGGGACAGAATTATTCGGTCTAGTGTGTACGTGTCGCAAGATGACTGTGTGAGATGGATGTCCGGACGCGTAGCCTAGCGGCTCCTCGTCCGGATCCGGTCGCGTAGCCACGGCCTATTTATTTTATTGAGACGTTCCAAGTGCCTGTTGGGGTAAGGGTAATGTTTAGATAGGCGCGCTACTGTCGTCGTCAAGGTATGTTACGACTGTACACTGGTTGAGCCAAGAGGTCCGTATCAGTAACTACTTTAATTTTCACACACACTGACTGAAATACACAGTGACAGTTCATAGCGTTGCCGTTGGCGTTGGCTAGAGTAGATGAGCCACGCTTTTTATTTGTACTAGACGTCTAGTTTGCTATACAGATTAATTATAAATATTTTCTAACACATGAATAAGGTGTGTTTGATGGTGTTATCAGATTAACTACGTATACCAACCTAAATATGTTTAAAATTATAAGTATAACACAATAAACACTTTCTCGATACAAATATAACTTGACATAAGCGACCGGAAGTTCCGGAAGCTAGCCGTATGTGATAATAAATATGCATGTTTATATAGTTTTGTAATTATCTCGCACAAAGCTTATTTCACAGGTAGTTAGTTTAAATCCTAACTTTACACCATAGAACAGTAATACTTATTATTGAATTCTTACCTCATTGATATATTATTTAGCAAGTGATTATTTACTATTTTACAATAAAAATAATCCGACAAATTTGTTGCATATGATACGTCAGCAGAGAATTGTGGGAACGTGGCAACGTCACCCGAAGTCGCATCTACGGTTCTGCTACGGTTTGCACCGAGTTCATAGTTTCCTGCTTTATATCTTGGCTTGCTGCTCTGTTGTACCTTCAGTAATATAGATAAATCTTCATAGTAATCATGGTAAGTTGTATGTCATATTGGCCACCATATTGCATAGGTATATTATAATATTCTCATCTCTGGCTGTGAATGAACACACGCACAGTCCTCTTCTTACTCTTTTCTTAGGGATCCTCATCAAGAATAGTTTGGGACCCCCGCAATATGTTTTCGCTTAGTTGCTAGTACTCCCTTTAAATTTAGCTTATTTGTTTCTGTCTTTCCGCATGAAATGATCTCCTTTCCTCTCTTTTAAGTTAATTCAATATAAATGCAATGCAAATGCAAAATATTGCGCCTGCAGTCCATAGTTCATTTAGTTGATAGATCTGTCAATTTGATCAAGTTTGTCTCCGTCCGTCTTCGATATAGTCCAGGGTTCTCCCCAGGATGAAATTCAAACAGGGGGGAGTTTTCCCAAACGGGGCGCGCGCCCGTTTGCGCAACGTAGGGAGAACCCTGTAGTCCATTTGACTTTGAATACTAACAAGTATTATTTATGGGGTACTAGGAAACAGAGTAGGTGCTATTACTTTGTTCCATGGTGTAGAACCATATTACTCCCTGCCCTACCAATGACATGAGTAACATTATTGTATCTATTAGATAATATTCTTAATAAGCTAATCTCTGTAGTACATGTATGATCAGTAGTAGGCCTAGTAGTAGTACGACTATCACTACTAGAACCAGCATACATCGCACATTGACATCGCTACCCTCTTGTTTTCACCATAATCATTACACTGAACATCCATTATCTTTAGTTGCTGTACAAATCGTTGACACACCAATAAACATGTATGCTGCGGGTTGTATGTATATTGTAATGGACTAAGCTGTTACTGTTTTACCCAGTTCTGCTATAACGGTAATAACCAGTCTACTTGTTGCATGTATAGACAGTGCTTGCGCGACCTGGACATATCCAACTGTGTAATAGTTAACATGCATAATGTTGGCTTCAGTTAGTGAAAAGTTCATCGTCATAGTAAGTTTGTTACAGAACTACATCTAACATACCTACACATTCTCACATGTATTCGTTCACATGAGACATGTACCGGTACCAGTGCACGTGTTGTCAATGTTGATGAAGCAGTGTTTAGTTATGTCAATCAGTGCGACTAAGCAAAGTTTAGTCATGACTAGAAGGCAAAGAAGTGTTATGATTAGTGTATATAAATAATGTATTCAGCAGCGGCTAGTGCATATTAACAATGTATTCAACAGTGGGTAGTGTATATTAACAATGTATTCAACAGTGGCTAGTGTATATAAGCAATGTATTCAACAGTGGCTAGTGTATATAAGCAATGTATTCAACAGTGGCTAGTGTATATAAGCAATGTATTCAACAGTGGCTAGTGTATATAAGCAATGTATTCAACAGTGGCTAGTGTATATAAGCAATGTATTCAACAGTGGCTAGTGTATATAAGCAATGTATTCAACAGTGGCTAGTGTATATAAGCAATGTATTCAACAGTGGCTAGTGTATATAAGCAATGTATTCAACAGTGGCTAGTGTATATAAGCAATGTATTCAACAGTGGCTAGTGTATATAAGCAATGTATGCAGTAGTGGCTAGTGTATACAAGCAAAACATTTTGTTACAGCCTGCTCCAGCAAGTAGTACATCAGTTGGTGCTGGTCGATCTCCATCATCTAAAGGAGCCAGCAGTCCCAGGGCTGGTAGTTCCAGCACTGTACGGCAGAGGTAAATAGCAATATTACATAGTCACTTGCTAAAAATGATAATGTAAGTAGACAGTGGATGGCATACATTGTGTATAGATTTTATGGGTTCTTAAGGGCCAGACACACTAGGCGATTAAATCGGGCAACAAAATTGCCCGATTCTATCGCGCGAGTCGAGTGGACACACTAGGCGATTAAATCGCCGGTGAATGAAGCACACACACACACACACACACACACACAAGCACACACACAAGCACACACGCGGCACGACACGACACAGCAAAACGCAGCGCCGTTGTGCTGAAAAAAAATACATTGTGATTTCGCGCATTGTGTTCACTCTGGTTCAGTGATCAGAAATTATGCATGTGCTTGTTGTCCATTGGCTGATGAATTGTACAATCGGGCGATGTTATCGCCGGCCCCGGACACACTAGGCGATGAAATCGGGCGATAATGTCAAAACGTTTTGATCTATGCGATGACATCGGGCGATGAAATCGGGCGATGAAATCGGGCGATGAAATCGGGCGATGAAATCGGGCGATGAAATCGGGCGATGAAATCGGGCGATGAAATCGGCGGCGATTGAGTGGACACACTAGGCGATTTCACGGCGATTACATCGCCCGATGTAATCGCCTGGTGTGTCTGGCCCTTTAATTTACAGATTAGATCTATGCTGAATATAATTGAAACTCTTCATGAACGAAAAAAGCAAGTGAGATTAAAATCGAGTGAATGGAGTGGCCGACTTTAAATTGAATTAAAGAATCGAAAACCTTTCTTCAGGAAAACAGCATCATCAACTGCGCCGCGGTCGACACGTACTACAGTAGGAGGAGGAGGTGGAGGAATGTGGAGGTTCTACACTGATGACTCTCCAGGAATCAAAGTGTAAGTTTGGTAATTTGTCTGCTCGAGATGTACGTAGTGCCCCCAAAGTTAGGATTACAGAAATAACTTTAGAATAGATAGAAATCTTAAGGATACTCTCCACCTTTTGCACGGGTATTGCTCTAGTGAAGATTAAATGTTTATTGGGGAATGAATCAAATCAATCACTTGTTTTATTTATAGAGGAGATATATCTCTATGCTCAAGCCAAAAAATTTCATGAAATTTCCCGCACCTAATTATGTTACCACACAAATTTTGAATTTTTATGTAAAAATGGTATTTTGAATATTTCTCAACTACCAGAAAGAGTGAGGATACAAAATTTTTGCCACATGTTAAGCACAATATGGACCAAAATAGTGCGTCAGGATTTTTCTTTAATTTTTCATATTTACCGAGAAAACTGGAAAAAACTGCTTAAAAATTAAGTTGTGTGTTAGAATTGAAAATTTTAGCGAATAAAGAGGCATAACTAATAAAATACGGCACTTAATAACAATCCCTGACGCACTTCTTTACCACAATATGTTACCATTAAAACGAGTGTAAAATTAAATTAATCCGAGTTGTAATCACAGAGAAATATCCATTTATACATCGGCTACTACATGTCAGAAATCGAAACGGAGAAATCAGGGTTTTTCTAATTTTCACAATGAGTGACCGCCTGTGTGCAAAATGGGTGAACGTATGTGATATATCTATTGTTAGTACTTACTGAGACATATCCATGACTAAGTTAACTGACACCTCTAAATTGGTAAAATGTTCCTTGCACCTTGAGAAATTCTGAGAAATTACGAGGTGACCAACGGAATTTCATGCAAATGGCGCGAACCCGCCCATTGCCTGACGTCACTGTCAACAAACGCGCGCCTTATGTAAGGTGCGTTGCGAGGTGTGAGAACTATTTTAGGCTCTTGTGGAATACTTATTGGATCAGGGTAGTAGTACAGCTGTAGCAGGGTTGATGTTGATCAGGAGTAGTCCTGATGTTGATGGATACTGGCTCAGTGAATATCGTGAAAATGCTGGTTGTATCTTGTGTCTGACGTCATAATGACGTCAGCCACGGCTCACTACACATGTACGCTGGCAAGCAAAACGCTCTGACAGTTCACATGTACCGTTATATGGAGAAATGAGCACGTACACAGGTGGCACATAGTGTTAGCCATCGAACTGTCGAATAAAGTTGAAAATGAAAAATTGGTAAAATTTTTCCTAAAACCTTTAGAGTATCCTTAAGAAATACAGAGAGCTTTTCCTGAATGATGGTGACTTTAATGTGTGATTTCACTATTTTCTCATTTTGAGTTCATAGTGTTCCTCTCTATACTTGGGTATATGGTAACACACGTTTTTGTCTTGCAGGGGCCCAGTGCCAGTGTTAGTAATGAGTCTGCTTTTCATTGCATCTGTCTTCATGCTGCACATTTGGGGCAAGTACACACGATCATAGAAGACGAAATAGAGCGGATTCTGCATTAAAGTATATGTGAGCCATGCTAAATCTTTGTGGATTGCTTTGAAGAGGATACAACAGTGACTGAATGGCGACGGACAGAAGCACTTGAGGTCGTGTGTACTTGAGGGTTTTATAAACTAGCATTTCCATCATAATGAGTAGTTTTGAGGGTGCCCTTGTTATAGTGAGTTTTGGTATAGGTTGGTCAAGTATTTATTTGATGTAGACTCTGTTGTTGTACTATTAATTGTGGCTGACATTTTCTACCTTTACGAACTACTACTACTACTACTACTGACACTGCTATTGAAATTGCTCCCATGGTTGTTGGGAGGTCTCTTGTTTTGTTGGAATCGTCTTATTTACATTTAAGTTAGCGTGTGTGTTATTTACATTACACGTTTTTAATTCATTAAGAGTCTATAAGGTAGTTTGGTGCAATTTGATTGTGAGTTCATCAGTAGCACAGTGCACCTATACTGCAGGAGGGTGGAGTAAGCCATCTTGGATTGAAGTGCAGCTATGCTGTAGACAGAGCTATTCCAGCCTATCTATCTATACTGGAGGGTTGGGAGGTCTAGCTCATAGTCCCTACCTGCAGTAGTAAATGTTTAAGCAGTCCAGTACAGGTCATAACTGATCGCCTTACAAAGCTCATGCTAGCAGTAGCATTACAGGTGGTAGACTGGAACTGTCACATTTTCACAAGGTAGAAGAATCATGTGAATATAAGCAGTGTTGGCTGCAGTACTTGCTAATGCAGTTTTAGATAGTAGTGGCATTTTGGTGGTTTAATAGGTGACTGATGGTCTTGTTATACTAACTCTAGCACATTATAACAATGGGCATCGCAATTGTCAACGTTCACATACAGTCTTTTATGAGCATTCCATTGCAAGTATTGTGTAGACGTTGATCCAATGGGAATAACATATTTGTTTAAAAAAATAAAAGTATGTATTGTTTTTAGCTCATCTGACATAGTCAGATGCAGCTTGTAGAATCGCATGATCGTCCGTCCGTCCGTCCGTCCGTGCGAGCGTCCGTGCGTCCGTCAACAGTTGGGCACAAATCTTAACCGCTCGACGTAAATACAGACTGCTTTAGAAAATAATATGATTAAGGAGCCGTAAACCTTGTCACACAAACGATTTGCCTTTGCAATTTGAACATGTGCAACTGTAAGCCTCACATCCACATAGAGCAAAAGCAGGGTTTCAGTCCTTTGTACAGTCAACAAATCCATGGTTTAACCTCCCTCTTGAGGGTGAAAAGGTTATCCGCACTTACTCTTTCGCATGTCAGCAGAAAGTACATTTCACTGGTCCTTTCAATAAAGCCATAAAATGCTAGGTCAGCCGCTGAAACAAAAAAGTTTTTTCAAATCGCTCCGTCACACCATGTTCCTTCAGAAAAGTTCAAAATTCAGCCCTGGGCCCTTGACCTGATGACCGTCCAACTGGCACAGTGATGGCTTTCTACCATGAAGTGCTATCCACCGACTATACGAGCTAGGTCGAGCGCCGTTTAGATTTGATGCCGCCAACTTCTGCATTCCTCCCTATACTTAAGTAAGGAGGAATGTTCCCCTTCTTTTACACCTCTTACCTTTGACCTTTGACCCCCTCAGCTTCGAGCATCCCGAACTCCATTTTGACGATCCCCCCAACGTCCCAATATATCGTGACCATAC